AATATAATTATTTGCATAAATTCAATTAGAATCTGTTCTCTTTTTTAACAGGACACAAGTGGAGACAAAAGTCAAGGATTTGCCTGGAATGGTATATTTTTAAGAAATTGACATTGATTTTACAAAGCTGATAATAGGCCTGTGGATAAAACTGGCCTCACACCTTGTCTATGCAGTTCCATTACAGGGTCCTTCACAGGTTTCTGGCCTGTAATGGGTAAAAGAAGGTCACATTCTGATAGGCCCAGGAACCCCAAGTTATTTTGGAATCTTGAGAGAGAATTCACTCAATTCATACAGGTATCTCGTAGAAACAGATAAATCCTTAGTTGGGCTCAGGATGCTTTTAAGAGGTCTAACCTGAGATTCTTTACAAAAAAGAATGTTCCAGCAAAGTCATTTTTTAAAAAGGACCCTATACAGTGCATATCTATTCTTGCTGCACTTGATGCAAATAATCAGACCAAGTATAGTAACAAAACCTATTTTGCAAATAAATCAGTTCTACTATGTCTTTCATAAAATTGAAGAATTGGAAGCAGAAAAATTATACTTCAAAAACTGTAGTATATCTTATTATCTTATTATCTTCTGGCCTTGTCCATTGTTTTTTCAGTTTTTATTATTTTTTACAATTTAGACCAAATCCTGAATTTTTTCCTGGCTATAAGTCTCCAAAGTAACATTTTCAATGTTTTCTCCCATTTTTCTTACTTGAATTCACTAGAAATTAAAACTGGGGTTTTCTTAAAGTCTTGCAAAGTGAAGGTATCTGGAGAAAATAACAGTAACTTATAAACAACCTTCATGTACACCTGCTGATGCGAGGTCTTCTCAGAAAGTTCACTTGAACACCTGGTTTGAACTTCCAGAAAAATCTGGAAGATTGCCACTGCAATATGAAGATGCCTCAGAGATTGTAGAAAAGCTAGTCTATAGATAGACTACTCCAGATATTAACCTTTATTATTTTTTTCTGTTTCTATAGAAATGCCTCCTACTAGAAATCTGATTGCCCACATTATGTCTAGAGGCCTAAACCATTTGCAGTGCCACCTCCTGGAATGGGACATAGCTATTTAACTGAAATGATCTCGCCTCAAAACCAAGAGACTGCCTAAAGAAGATATGGAATGATATATTTAAATTTGCTCATTTATATTTATCCTGAATTTGTTTTTCCACTGCTGTGACTGTCTCTATCTAAATACTTCTAACCCAAATCTCTCCAAAGCTATTACCTTGGCTTTTAGTATGTGAAACTTGTTTTAAATTTCAAAGTGGAGACTGAAGAAAATCAAAATATTTTACCCTCGAATATATTTCTTTGACATATTTAAAAATGGTTGCCACTGGCCAACAAGCAGAAGTAGCATTGCAAAACTGTCTTAACTGAGGAAAATTTGCGTCTATGGACAATGTCCATTAATGCAGCCATGCCCCCTCCCCTTTCTAAGCCTTTCCCAGGATCCAGAGAGATTGAGAGTCTGACACCTTTAAAGATCTGGATAGAAACATTTACCATCTATTGTTTATGAGAAAAGGTTCGTCTGCATAACAAGGGCACCTTTGCTAGCCAAGTTTATTCCTTCCTCTCTCTCTTAACCTGTGTTGCCAGTAAAACTAATTTACCTGTTTCTGGCCATGCTTTGAGTCTCCACTCTTTACTGTGGCCTCACAATAGTACATGAATTTCTGTAACTTATTGGGAAGTTGGGTCTTCATTCTCATGTTCCCCGAGTGTGGTGGTTAATACTGAGTGTCAACTTGATTGGACTGAAGGATGCAAAGTATTGTTCCTGGGTGTGTCTGTGAGGGTGTTGCCAAAGGAAATTAACATTTGAGTCAGTGGACTGGGAAAAGGAGACCCACCCTCATTCTGGGTAGGCACAATCTAATCAGCTGCCAGCACAGCCAGAATGAAAGCAGGCAGAAGAATGTGGAAAGACTAGACTGGCTTAGTCTTCCAGCCTACATCTTTCTCCTGTGCTGGATGCTTCCTGCCCTTGAACATCATACTCCAAGTTCTTCAGCTTTTTGACTCTTGGACCTTGGACAACAGACTGAAGGCTTCACTGTTGGTTTCCCTACTTTTGAGGTTTTGGGACTCGGACTGGCTTCCTTGCTCCTCAGCTTGCAGATGGCTTACTGTGGGACTTCACCTTCTGATCATGTGACTCACTACTCCTTAATAAACTCCTCTTTATATATACATCAATCCTATTAGTTCTGGCCCTCTAAAGGGCCCTAGCTAATAGACCATGTATATACATTAAATAAATTTGTATTCCCTTTCCCCTATTAATCAATCTGTCCCATGTGAGTGATTTTTAGTGAAGCTTTAGGGGGCCAACAGCCTATGGCCACCACTTAAGGTATACATTGGCTCTGCCTGAAAATCTGATACATCTTGAAGTAGGAGAGTTTATAGGACAAAGGTGGATTCAAAGATTTTCTGATTGGCAATTGGTTGAAAGAGTTAAGCTTTGTCTGAAGACTTGCAATCAGTATGTGGCAGGACAGGCCATAGACAAAACCCCTCAGATGCAGAGTTAAAGAAGGAAGGGCTTTATTCAGTTGGGAGCTTTGGCAAGACTCCCGTCTCCAACAACTGAGCTCCCTGAGTGAGCAATTCCTGTCCCTTTTAAGGGCTCACAACTCTAAGGAGGTCCGTGTGAGAGGGTCATGATCGATTGAGCAAGCAGGGGGTAAGTGACTGGGGGCTGCATGCACCAGTAATTAGAATGGAACAAAACAGGGCAGGAATTTTCACAGTGCTTTTCTATAATCTGTAATCTATAGATAACATAACCAATTAGGTCAGGGATCAATCTTTAACTAGCAGGTCCAGGGTATGGCACCAGGCTGTCTGCTTGTGGATTTCATTTCTGCCTTTTAGTTTTTACTTCTTTCTTTGGAGGCAGAAATTGGGCAAAAGACAATATGAGGGGTAGTCTCCTCCCTGAAGTATAATGAAATGCTTGAGTTAAAGGGGGTTGTGGGAACCATGGTTCATGTCATATAGACGAAACCTCCAGCTAGCAGCCTTAGAGAAAACAGATGGTAAATATCTCTTTTCAAATTTTTAAGGTGGCAGACTCTCATTTAATCTCTCCTCAATCAGAGCAGAGCCAGAAACAGGCAAATTTCCCCACAAAAGATGATTTTGCAAGATCATTTCAATATATGTCAAAGAAATATAATTTGAGGATTAAATATATTGATTTCCTTCAAAGTCTGCTATTGTCATGTGATGCCAAACCAGAGTCATATTGGAATTTGGTATCTTACTCCCACAAAGAGTCCATTTTGCCAGTCTTATGATCACTATTTCAATGTTAATGCTGGTCAGTTGTGCCTGAACTCCGAAAGGGAGTGTGTATAATGAGGTGTGTCTGACCTCCCTTTCCATTATGGCCTGGAATTTAGTTTTCCAAGTTTCTCTGGGGTCGCCTAGGACAAGAGGGGATCCATTCAGTCAGTAGGAGGACTTGATTTTATTTTTGATTTATACCCCAATTTCAAAGTACACTGCAAATTACTTTCAAAGTTCTACTTACTTTGGCCAGCAACCAGGAACTAGGCTGAATGCAATCCTCTTGCTTCCAAGGTCTGTAATAAAGTGATCTCCCTTCCAAAGTCTGCAAGGGAAGTGATCTCACTGGAATTCTGTATCACCTTGACCCCAGAGTCTAGTTAGGATCACCTCAGGGATCTCTGGGAAATGTAGTTTCAGGGCCTCAGGTTGCCTCTGTGAATCTCTTATGCAAATCTTTTCATTAAAAATGGTGTGGATAATTATATTATCTGATGACACCCATGCCACAGGCTAGGAGAGCTGTGCCCTTGTATTTCACCTAGTTCTTGCTCTCTGGAAGTCTGATGCCAGACTTCCCATGTGTGATATGGAAGGTGAGAGCTTGAAACAGGTCAAGGGGAAAAGCAGAACCAGTAACTTGGAAGAGGCAGAAGAGGAAGATGAAAGGTTTTAGTCACACACTCAGATTATGGCACTCTTTCTTCATCAATTCCTATAAGGCCTCTCGTTTTCTTCTGCCTCTTTTCATATCTCATCCTCACTCTCATCTGCTTCTTTACCCAAAGGTACCACACAATGTGTCTGAAATAACTCGATGCATGTGGCATAAGTGTCACATGTATCATATGGCTTTGTTGCTGCTTTTTAATTTACATTAATACGAATGTAAATTTTTATTTACATTAATATAAAATATTAACATTGTATATAATGTTTTTTGACACGTAACAGTTGTATATATTTATTTGGTAGAGTGATGTTCTGATTCATGCATACATTGTGTAAAGATCAAATCCTGGTAATTAGCATATCTGTCACCTCAAACATTTATCATCGCTTTGTAATGAGAACATTCAAAATCCTTCCTTTTTTTCTAGCTTCCATACCCTTTTCTCTCCAGTCTCCAGTAACAACTTTTAACTTTCTACTACTCTAACTATTCTACTCTTAATTTCTATGAGATCAGTTATTTTAGATTCCACATATGAGTGAGATCTGTAGTTTTCATGAGGTAATTGTTGTCTTCAGCCCCTACTGTTCCACTACATACCTCTGGTGTCCTGCCACATGAACTTGGGACTCTCTGTGGGAAGGCTTTCTTTTGGCCTGTGCTTGGGCAGATGAACTGCAAATTAATGCACCTGGGACCACCACTCAGCCTAGAAGACAGGAATTGGAGAGTAAATATCCTTGCTTTCTACATGCTAAGGTGGGATTATTCTTAGGCATGTACAAAACTGCCTCCTGGTGTTGTCTACTGGGATTATGCTCCCTTTCTTCACAGGCAACCTGCCAACAATGCACCTTTTTATTGTTTCTCAAGGTGTCCTGGGTTCACTGTTTCACTCCCGCACTGGTGATTCCTTAAATCATCTTCTAAATCAAAATAAGCCACTGGAATACAAATCTTTGTCTTGGGGCCTGGTTTTAGAGAAACCCAACCTAAGTCTTTTTAACTTACCAGTTCCACTTGTGAAGGACATTTGATTGCCTCCTCCTCCTGGTTATTATCAACACTGATGTGATGAATACCTTTCTAGACATCCCCTGTAGATTAGCAGAGCATCACTGGGATATACATATTAGGAAAGGGATCTGTGGAGGGGCAGATCATAGATGTACTTTATTTTTCTTTTGGCACTGCCAGATTTCTTTCCTTTTGTGTAGAAGAATTCCTACTTTCCTCATATCCTGATTGACACTTGGTGTTAGTCACCTTCAAACGTTTGACAGTTTTATGTATCTAAGATGATAGCTCAGGGTTCTTTTCATTTTCACTTCTCTGATTCCCAGTGAATAGGGGTGAATAGGTTCTTCACATACCTATTGACCCTTCACATTTCCATTTGTGAGTTAAATGGCAAGGTTTTAAGAAAGAACTCCTTCTGCCAAATTAGTCAGGACACACAGGCGAAGAGAGATGGATTAAAATTCAGATCTTGCTGGAAAACCTTTGGCCAAGATGGGGATGAGACGGGCAGAGGAAGTAATTCCAGCATGTAGGATTGTGATCTGGACCATTTTTGACAGTGTATGGGAGAGGAATTTTCAATGGATTATGGTCATTTTTCTCCTTGATTGTTGGAAACTTGATGCCTGGAATTAAAATGTTACCATCCAGATTGGCACATGTATAAATCTGAGATTGCCTCTAATTATTGTCATTGTGACTGAAATTCTTCAGGATGTCCAGCAAGAATCGTCATGGGAAACTATGAGATGAGGAGACTTGTGACTAAGGGAGAGTAAGACCAGAGTCAAGAATCCTGGTGTCTAAGGGCAGAAACACCTGAGGCTGGGGGTTTGAGATGTCTGAGAGCTTGACAATACCCTAGAGCCTCCCACACGGTGCTCATCAAGACTCAAGCCAAAATTTTACTTCATCAAAGTTTTGCATGTGGAAGAAGAGGAGAATTGGGGAATACCTGAGCTGTCACTGAGCACTTCCTCACCATACAAGTAAGAGATACAGAGATGGGCTGGGTAACAACAGTGATACCATAAAGAAAAGCTCCTTCTTCACTGTGACTTATACAAGTAGAAAGCATGTTGTTTGTGTCTTCAAAGAAAAGCATTAGAGTTAGTTATGTCTAGTTTAAAGATTCTAACAAGTGCTAACTCACTTCTGTGTCAAGATTCTGAAGTTTGATAATTGACTCTGTTTCCTTGCTAATAACAACAACAAAACTTACACTTTTGCAGAGAAATAAATGTTCTTCCTTTCCTGATCTTCTCTGAAGAAGGGCTCTATATCCAAGCTAATTTTGTTTTGTTTTGTTTTATGCTTATTATCTATTTTAACATTTAGCATAACTTCTGGTTTTCACTTTAACAAGTAAAGTTTGGGATTATCCCTCCCATCTTCTCATCAATGAGAAAACTAAACAAACTGAAAATAAATCTTCTGAAATCCATGACAGAATTGAAGTCACAGAGCAAAGTGCTGTCCTGAAAACAGACAGATAAAGACAGATAATCGCAATTTATTCTCAATTCTAGAAACTAAAGCCCAGGTTTAGAAGACCACAGATGAAGCCAGTATTTTTAGGAACATGTAATAATTCATGAATTGTTGAGGCTCAGTGCAGACAAGCTTGAGAGTTTAAAGTTCTTGGGTGCTCAGTCTCATGGGGTCTTTACACTTTTGTGTTTTTTCTCCCAGATCCCCACCAAGTTCTCACTGCGAATGCTGTGAATAGTCTCTTCATGCTCCTAGCAGAAGGTGGAGAAAAGTCCAGAACATTCTGGTCCTCCCTCCCTCAAGGGAAATTACAAGGGCTTAACTGAAGTGAGGTAAGAGAAACATTCAGCCCAACCCCTCTAGCATTCCTGTTTCACCTAAGTGGAGGGGACGGAGGAATGGATGCTGAGAAGCACTTTCGAAGGTCATATCCCAGGACAAAAGCTCACTAGAAGATAGTGACCTCATCAAAGGACTATAGAATGTTTCTCTTTTCCCCATACATTAAAACCACTGCGACTCCAGAAGAAAATACAGAAGGCCCGGGGCCAGAACAATGCTAAGGAGCTGAGGCCAAGCGCTTTGGAGAAAAGGCGACGAGAGAAGAAGCGGACCGGAAGAAGCAGCGAAGGAACTGCGGCAAAAGCGAATACAGAAAAGGCCAAAGTGAGAGGGCGAGGGACAGGGCGGCGACCAAGCCCACCCCCGAGGTGGCCTGCCAGGAGCCGCAAGAGCCGTCGGGGCTGGTAGTCCACAAGGTGGAAGTGAGTGACCACGAGCCGGCCAGCAAGCCGCAAAGAGGAGGAAGAGGCAGGAGGTGAAGGGGAGCGTTGCGCAGCCGAAAGGGAGGAAGCCCGGACGCTGCTGAACTCCGGGGACGAGACCAGCGGAAGGCGCGAGAGCTGGAGGCCAACGTGAAGCGGCAGCGGAGAGACCTGCCGAACCAGGCGGATGGCGCAACAATCCGGAACCCCCAGCGCCTCCCATAGAAGCCTGAGGCGCAAGGAGAAGTGCTGGAGCGGTGGCGGCGGCGCCAGCTGGGGCAGCGCTGGGCGGACAAGGTGAAGAAGCAGCGGCGCCAGAACCTGCGCAGGAAGAAGGCGGCCAGCGTCCCGCGCTCCCTGCACGGGGCCCGCAAGGAGCGTGCGATCCCGTCTAGGACCCGGAGCGCGCCGGCCTCGTGGGGGCGCCTGAGGGCTCCTCCCTTCCCCCACCTCAGGTCCGGCGTGTCCCTGGCCTGGGCCTTTCCCACCTGGGGCTGCCGTCTCTGTCCTGGGAGTCTCGAGGCGCCCCTCCGAGTCGTTGTGTGATGCCGGCTCCTCCCGCAACCTCTGTGGAACTCGGCTTCTCCACGTGAAAGGGACAGTCTTGTTCATCTGAGTCCTTGAACGCAGGGCGCAGATCCTTCAGACTCCAGAGAAAGAGTGAACCAGATCCAGTCCTCCAGTCTTCTCGGTGAGGCCTGAGAGCTTCCCAGAGGTTTGCAGACTCAGGGAAGAGGAACGTTGGTAGGGGTGGGTGGGAGGAGTTTGTGGTGAGAAAGTCGCAGGCCTTCTTCCCCTGCCTGTGTTCACAGGGGCCACCGGACAGGAAGAGAATGTCTTTTGCTGATTATCCGCATTAGTCCAAAACTCACTGGAAGGGAGGACAACCCCTGGGGTGCATGCGCACCTGGCACTCGGGAGAAGCTGGAGCCCATCCAGGCACCGTGTGTCCGGGACAGAACACCATGGCCTTCTCTACTCTCTTGGCTTCTGCCTGTTTGAGTCTCTTTCTTTTCTCTTTCTTAGTAGCCCGGGGAAGCATTTTACAGCTCAGAATTCAAAGAGTGGAAGGGAGCTGTACCTTTCCAGATCATGGATGTGAGTTGGGCCACATGGCCACCTCTGAACCAGTTGCTGGCTCCAATTGTGGGGCAGTGACTGACATGCCTCGCTACCCTCCTGGAGTCAGGGAGGAAAAGTTTCCTGGCAGAGGGTGGAGCTGGGTGGGGGTAGAGGGAGCTTTGCTGTTACCTAATGAGAGAGGTAGGGGTGAGAAGAGATAGCAGATGTCAGATGGCTTCTGTCCCAGGTGAGTGCTTTGCTGCAGAAGTGGTCCAGTGTGGCTGGTGTTTTCTAAGTGTCTTGGAGTGAGGAAATCACTGTTATTGAGCAGTTGTTCAGACATGAGGCCCCTCACTCCCTAAATATTTAATAAAATGGGTAATTTTCCCATGGTACACAATTTAAAACAGACTTCGAATTGATAATGTAGCATGCTAGATGTTCTCAGAAGCCTGTCTGGTGTGGCTGAACTGAAAATGCTTGATAGATTCGTTATTTTTTTAACAAATGACTGGGTTGGTGGGAAATGAGATGGCTGGGCTCAGATTTTCCCAGCTTGGTGAAAGAGAACAGTCTTAGAGATTTGGAAAACCTGTGGCAGCCATGGAGATGCACCTCTTGATCTTTTTTGAGAAATAACTGGCTGTTCAGCTGCAAGGAGTGTAGACTGTTGACAGTCCAGACCATTGCCTTCTGCATCTGCCTCAGCCATTGAGCTAAGGACATGCACTGCGTGGGTGGCCTCCAGCCAGTGACTAAGCACTTCTTCTGTAATAGGCAGACTGCTCCAGGGTTCCCTGTGAGTTATTTGAGACTGTCCGTTCTGCATCATGTTGTGAGGCTCTCCTGGTACCATTCTGCTTCCTGCCCTTGTCTTTCACAGGTGTTAGCCCTTGATAGCCTTTTTACACTCCTCACTTAGTCTCTGAATCTGTTTGCTGGAGGAATGAAAGTGACACAACTTTCAGCAACTTCCAAGTAAGTTGTTGGAAACAACACACACCTTGGGGTATCTACACGTCACTGTAGATCATAAAAACAGGAAGACAGATTGACAGCTGATTTCTCAACAGCAACAATGAAAGCTGGAAAAATGAAAACTGCTGAGGAAACGAGAGGTCTAGAATTCACTACCCCTGTAAATATTTTTCACTTTGAGTGTCAATTGTTAATTATTTTTGCTTGCTGAAAAAAATCCCTTCATGTCATGCTATCTCTTAAGAAAATGAAACTTAAGAAGGAAGATGATTTTACAAAGAAATGGTAAGCACAGACAAGGGGGATGTTTTGAATCTAAACATGCCCATTGCATGAAACTGGTCTTCATTTTGGTAGGCAGCAGCCATCAGTGGCTATTTAAATTAAATAAACTTGGCCGGGCACAGCGACTCATGCCTGTAATCTCAACACTTTAGGAGGCCAAGGCAGGGAGATCAACTTGAAGTTGGGAGTTTGAGACCAGCCTGGCAAACGTGGTGAAACCCATCTCCACTAAATGTGCAAAATACAGCCGGCCACCTGTAATCACAGCTACTGGAGGGGGGGGGGCTGAGGCAGGAGAATCACAAACCTGGGAGGCAGAGGTTGCAGTGAGCCAAGATCATACCACTGCACTCCAGCCACAGCAAGAGAGCAAATGAATTATCAATAAATTGAATTAATTAAATTGAGTATTCAGTTCCTGGGTTGTATTAGCCACATTTTAAGTGCTCAGTGGCCCTAGTGATTAACACATTGGATAGCACAGATACCGAACATTTATATATCAAAGAAGGTTATTGGTCAATGCTGGTGTAAAACAGCGTTTTGTAATTTGTAGGCTTACAAATCAAGGTATATCTAGAATATTGGACAATATGATATGTAAGTTATAGAAGTGTCTGGAATTGAATTATTCTCAGGTTTTTATATGTA